ACTACGACTACTACTACTACTAGTAGTGCTGCTGCTACTACAACATTACTGCTCTGCTTTTTCTGCTGCTACTTCCCCATCCCGACGGTGAGGCCACTTAATTGCCACGTAACCCCCACCTGCCTTGACATGTTGAATATGGGTTCCCGGTGTATGAAGGTTTCCCAAAATTAGAGGTTATGTTTTGGGGTAGCCAGAAAAAGAATCAGAGTATTTTGGGGTCCACTTCTTTTGGGAAAAGATATTTCATCCTAGGCCCAATTCAGATAAGGAGAAAGATTAAACTTAAACTGACCACTGCAGAATGCTTTGTACGGACCCCTGTAGTCACTTCATGATCCTTGTATATCCCAAAAGAGCAGAACCTTCTCGCCCCCAATAAGGAGAAACATGGCGAAGATCGGGATTATACCCTGGAATTGAAGCGAACTCCTGCGACTTGGGCCCGCTATGGAAACTTACCATTGCCTTGACAAGGTTTAGGTTTAGGGCCTGAGGGTTTAAGGTTTTTGTATTGGTTTTAGGTGCTTAAGGTTGGGGATCTAGGCTACTATGGTTACTGAGAAAGGGGCCCTCACTGGTGCCAACGGAGTGTTTTCTCCAGGGGCAGGGGGTTGAGCTAACCCGATCTTGTCCTTCTATCAGTAACCTAGAAATCATTGGAGCACCACATATTCTTAATCGATCTGTGGAACCACTGAGGATTTGAGGATGTATGCTCAGGGGAGGTACCAAAGTGCCCATGACTGCGCAACAGCGTATGAACAACGCGAACCCAAAATGATCCTCCCGCAACGAATTATGATCCCAGTATTGTACCTTGATATATTAGGGGGAGTACTTGCGATTTGGCGGGTGGGGTGGGGGCGTTTATTCTTGCGGGAGGAAATGAAGAGAATCGGCATGCAGCTTAATATCGGGAGGAGAGCTGAGCAAATGTGGGGTCTAATGGTTTTGAACAAGGTTTTCCTGTAGTTTTCAGAAACGACTCGGGCATGTTATGGTAAGCTTGCGGAAGGGATGGCTCCTTCACTTCCCCTCCCTAACCTCTACGTCTTAAACCTTAAACCCAAAACCCGCAACCCTTAATCCTAATCCCTAAACCCTAAACACTAGTCCCTAAGCCTGAGGCCTTAAGCCCTGAACCCTAAGCCCTACATCAGAAAGCCTTCAGGAGAGGACGGAGCCGTCCGTCATGCAGGCAGACTTGCTGCAGGTTACAGGTTTGGGGGTTTAGGGTTTAGGATTTACTGTGTAAGAAGCAGGTTTGTAGGATTCAGGGGTCAACGCTTTGGGAAAAGGGTCTGGGTTGAGGTTGAGGGGTTGTTCTTGGGATCTTGAAGTTCTAGGTTCAAGGGTTGTAGGGTTATGGGAAAAGCATGTTGGGGCAGGGCTTTGATTATGGTATTTGGTGAGTGTATACAGGGT